CCTTTTACTGAAATTCTCCCTCCTCTTTCGCGTTAATTTTCTATTTTCGAAAGTCGTTTTCAATTAAATTCGCGTTAACTTAAGTCGCGTTAATTTCCAATACTGTGAGTAAAATTATGTTAAAATGTGTGGAGAGCAGGGCTTCATAGCTGTGCATAAAACAGTGCATTTAGTTAAATTTACAGGTAAAGGTTCCTCAATTTTTTTCTCGACTTCTTAAGTTACGCTACTTAGTACTGCAGGATATAAAGTACTAAAATATTCGTCCCGGATTCGTATAGTCTACAATTTCCGGTTTGTGCTAATGTTGGTGTGCTTTTCACCTTAGGTATTCGCTCACGGGCTTGCCAGAAGCACATCCAAACTCGATTTTCTCTTAAGCAATTTCGGTTTTGGAGAAGTACACATTCGATAATGTTATGCCATGTTTCAGTGCATCGCAGTGCTTTATGCCTAAGGCACAGAGCTAGGGATCCGATTTCTGTAGCCTACACCCGACCTATCCAATCGAACAAAACCGAACAAAAAACCAATCGAACCCAATCGAACTCCAATCGTTCGGTTGGGTTGGGCAATCGAACAAAATCGAACACCTATTTTGCTGTGAGTTCGATTTTCGAACCAATCGAACCAATATAATCGAACAAAATCGAACAAAATCGAACTAATCCAATGCAATTGTCTCTTGACGCCTCAAACTGAGTAAAACACGTGGAATATAATCATTGTCAGCTTTTATTGAATAAACAGGAAGGAAAACAATTCTCCTGTTATTCCCGGGGGAAGTTTCTGTTATCCCTCGTGGCATTTCCGCTTGACACGAACACCACTGTTCGCCCTGGACGAGGCGCAAAAATAGAACGCGTGTTCTTTTTCCGATTTGACAACATTGGTCAAATGTTTGACCACAAGCGCATCCTAATTGGCCGAAGTTAATTGCCAACTGTTTGGTGGCTTAAATTTAATGAGAATTCCTAAGCGAGTCGGAAAAGTAACTGTTTTCACGAGATTTCCGGTTGAAAGTCGCTCGTGAAAACACGGCCATTTTCTCCTTAAAACCCGGTGAAAACAAAATCCGTTTAGCATAAGTGCCCGTAAGTGGGATCATAACTCACCATTTCATCCCGTCCTTAAAGGGCCAAAGTGGTGAGACCAACGTCCGCTCAAGATTTCCTAACTGCGCTTTAGTGTTGGTAACCTTGAATGCTCTTCCCTTAGAGCCAATCTTGTTGAAGATAAAGAATTCTTCTCCCACATCAACAGTAAAATTACATTCTTGGTAACCTTTTACACTGCATGTAATTTCAATACATGCAGTGTCCTCCCTCTCCTCCGTGTTTGACATTTCAGACATTTCAGTCCTGGGTTTCAGTGCTCAGCAAAAGCCGCGTAAAAAGGGAAGGGAGTTAGCGGTGATTTCACTTTCACCTTCGGAATTTTCCAATACCACGTGCCTATCATGCGATGCGGCGTCCGTTAATCGAACGTTCGATTATACCAATCGTTCGGTAATCGAACGTTCGATTGGGTTCGATTACCAATCGTTCGGTAATCGAACGTTCGACTGTTTTCGATTGGCAAAATTTTATTGTGAATTCGATTATGTTCGATTGAGTTCAGCAATCGAACGACTGGTGTTCGATTGGGTTCGATTGGATAGGTCGGGCCTACTTTGATCGAGTCGCTTTATTTTCTGATTTTAACCATTTATTTGAGTCACTGGACCATGTTTTGCTCCCTATAGCAGTCATACCTTTTATATATTGGAATTAAGCTCATAAAACATTTTAAAAACGCTCACTGCGTATTTTAAGAACAATTTTCATGTCGGAGACGCATGTTTCCCATGCCTTGGAGTTAAATGTGGAGTTTGTCTGAGTCGCGCGGGGGGGTCTTAGGTGACAAACCTATTTCTAGTGATAGTGCAACGTAGTTACTAAAACATGGAACGACCTAAAACCACCTAAAACCGTCTACAACCATCTAAAACTACCTACAACCACCTCAAAAAATTCAACAACCACCTACAACCATCTACAACCATCTACAACCACCTCAAAAACATCTACAACCACTCGCAAACAATCTAAAACCATCTAAAACAAGGTATAAATGTCTGAAATAAGGCGAGACGACAACATGTCACGAACATGAAATACGAGAATCGAACAAAACATCCACTTCCCCCTAAAATCTTACTCTCCCTGGTCCCTTGTATCATCAACCATTGGCTTAAGTCACGAAAAGAAATGCGAGATCATGCTAAGTATATTAAAAGACTTAAAGAACTTTACAAAATAAACTGTCAAGTCACAAAAAATAATAAAATAAAATAACAAACTCGTAGTCGAAAGACATGAGACGTTTTGGTTCACGTTTCATTTGTTTACGCAATGGCGCAAGGTAGGGTTTCTCTCTCTCTCGGAGTCTGCTTCACTGCTGTTTTGTTCTGAGGTGGCGGATTACATTCCTAAGAACAAGTTAATTTTTTTAGCATCTCATCTGCCAAACATGTTTGTACATTCCAGGTGACTCCTTTAGATGAACCCTAGTGTCTTTCACACCCGATTCCTGTGTCATCACGCAAGGCTAAACTCCCTTGCGTCACGACACAGGAAACGGAGACTAGTAGGTGTAATCATTGTTAAAAATGTTATTTAAAAAAATCTATAATGCAATGGATTCAGAAGAAAACAAGTTAAGAGGAGCCGAAATTAATAAAAATGGGTTGAAAAATTTTAATAGTGAATGATTGTATTTAAAGTAATTTACCTGGATTTTTATATACCTTTATTATGTTTTGGAACCCAACTTTCACCCCGGCCCTCTTCTTGGGGATGATGGGATATGCGCGCTTCTTATTTTCGCTTTGCTTGTTGTAAATACGTCCCCACTATACTATCTGAAAGCCTGGCACAGGCTAGAGTAGCTGGAACTTTACGACCTAAAACGGAACGAAAAATTTGGATCACATATTCGGGTCTTCCCTCCCCACCAAGGGATGTTACTGGTAAGAACGTTTTGATTCATTTTGCTGAAAAGAATTATCAAATATCATTATGTAATGTTTTCTAACTCTTGCAACTGCAAACGGGTTAATAGCTGTATAAAATCAGGCTCTACAAGTGAGACACGTTCACACTAGACTAAAGGATTCTGCGGGACTACATAGACCGAATGCAAATATGGCGGATCTCTCGGTCGGCCCGGGTCTAGTTGTGCGAAAGCGAGGCTAGTGAGGCCTCGATAGTTTTGTTTTGACTGCGCGTCTTAGCGATTCAGTCGATGAATGTGGTTTCCTTTGAGTTGTTACATGCTTAAGAGCCATCAAAGAGGAGATTTAACTCCAGCAGAGACGAAAGTTTATTATCTTCGCTTTGCCAAAGTTCTTTACGAAGAAATAAATGGATTCAAGAGATTGGCGGCGAATGGAGGCACTCTACTATCACGGAGTTATTTTTTAAAAGAACGATCACTTCAGAAGAGAAGACTCACGAAACTATTAGAATGGGTGAATAACTGAACGATTCATGGTTCTGCTTCAAGTTTGCTTTGTCCGTTTTCTTACCAAGGAAAGGTAAATATCCTCGAGAACGAGTGAATCCGCCGTCGCGACTTACCAATCTTTAGGCGCTCTCAAGGACACAACGACAAACAACAAGGGCGAATGTTTTTTCACAGTCTTCACGATCCTGTGTTCAAGAGTTTGAGCAGTGCCATAAAAGAAGCAATTTTTGGAAAATCGCTGTTAGTTTATCCCGAAACCATTCGACAAGTTGCTAAAATAGATCACGCGCAAGGTCAAATACAATGCTCGAATACTTGCACGCTCTTTTTCTTCCAGAACCTTTTTTCTTCTTCTTGACTTTCTTAGTTGGCAACGGTTCCTCCGTTAGTTTTTTCAGTGCATTTTGTTCAAGGACTGTTCTTGAAATATGTCGCTTTCTTCTGGTTCTTACATAGTTGCACAGGCCACGCTTGTAGGATTAACAGGCGATTGTTATCGTTGTTGTTATATTTTAATATTAATGAAGCTGTTTTCAGCGTGAAATCTAAAAGATCTTACGGTCGACCGCGGATGCTTCCGTTCTCGAAAACGTTTACTTTTTGTTGGATAAATGACAGACCATGCAAAAATCTAGGAACAGCACCATCTCTTGTGAAAATTATTTCATTCAAATACTTTCGTGAGTCTTCTCATCTAAAGCAAGTGAGCGAGCACAGTTTCGCTGTAAAGTGCTTCCCATCGCCGCGCCGAATCGCATGAATCCTTAAGTTTCTTTGTGAAAGGATCTCGGGAAAGTAAAGGCTATTCCAGCTAGAGGAAAATCTTATTTTGGTGGCCCTCAGGCATGCAACAACTCGATGCAAACCATATCGATCGCCTCAATCGCTAAGACGAGCAGTCAAAACAAAACTCTCGAGGCCTAACTAGCCTCGCTTTCGCGCAACTAGACCCGGGCCGGCCGAGAGGTCCGCCATATTTGCATTCGGTCTATACATTTGTGTGAAACTATTTCAGACATTTATACCCTGTTTTAGATGGTTTTAGATTGTTTGCGAGTGGTTGTAGATGTTTTTGAGGTGGTTGTAGGTGGTTTTAGGTGGTTGTAGATGGTTTTAGGTAGTTTTAGGTGGTTTTAGGTCGTTCCATGTTTTAGTAACTACGGATAGTGCAAAGCGCTATTCCCCGCCGCTCAATAGTTCCTCCTTCAAGAAACTCTACTCAAGCTAGTGCTAAAATGACATTTCCTATCTAACACAACAAAAAATGAGAATTAACATCCTAGCTTTAGACCAGGTGGGCGCAAAAACACTCGCGCATATGCTTTTATGGCGTTGATGAAGTAATTTTCAACGTAAATTTTCAACCCGAAATTTGCTAACATCAACTCTCCTCGTGTTCGCAAATAAAGGCGCAAGTAGAAATTTGAACACTTTCCATCAATAGAACCACTCTTCTTCTTTCGCTATACTAGAAGATACTTTCAAAGCAATATCAAGACTTGTTGAACTGACATAATTCAAAAACGAAGAACAGGTTTTTACGGTCACAAAAACTTTAATTTAATAGTTGTTTTCTGGGGCATTATTTTTCCTGTGGTATAGCTCCAAATTTTCCCAGTCCTCGTCTATTCACACATTTAGACATTCATCTAAAACATACCTGAGAATTGGCTTGGGTTCCTGAAGGCAGCCTCCAAACGAAAGCATCGAAGTCCGGTAAATATAGTGAAGCGTGACCAAAATAACTTATTTAACGGCACCAAGTTTCCTCGATCGTAAAGTAACAAGAAGAAATATCTTCCTGTTCCCTCATCCTTAGCGAATTACCATTGTTAAAGTCCTTATTTTTCGATAAAAAGTGAGTACCAGAATACTAGCGCGTTTGATTTTTTCTTCTTCAAAACTGACTGTCGGCATCGAAAATGTTACTCTTTCAAGAATTCCGTTGCGTTACTACCTTGATTCCGTGACTGTCATTTTGACGGCTCCCGTCTCTTCAAATGTATGTTATGTCACGTGCACTCACGGAACAGATTGTCACGCAGAGTCGCCGGCTGGTAGAGTGAGTGTTTCAAAGTGGCTAAAATTGACCCAGTTTCGCCTTTTTACCTAGCCTGTTCCAGGCGTTCAGATAGTGGGGAGCGGTGCGAAGTAAAAGGAGCGCGAAAAAATAAAAGCGAGGGAGGGGGAGAGGTGAGAGAGGGAACGCCTGTTAGATTTGTTTTAAATAGACTCATCCGCCCACTGAGACCTCATCAGCTGTAGGTGGTCTTCACTTGTCAATCAAGACTGATGTTACAGCCCCATACATTTATTATTTTTCTAACGAATACATCAAAATTTCTCGGATCAAAAATTAATATTATGTATACATAATCTTACTAAAAACCTGATGTAAGACTTTCAGACAATAGAGAGCGGAAGAAGTAATTTATTTACGGCTTTAAAACATGATTTCAGCGTGTACGTGACAAAAAAATTATGAATCAAGTGACAACAAATATCGCTCATTTCGATAGAAAGCCGTTTCAATACAGATCGTTAACTCGAGCAATGAAAATGCCCAACAAACGAAGGGAAAATTTACTATTCGGTGATTGAGTGGACCTCGTCAATAGCGATAGCTGCAACTTGCTTTCCAAGCTTTCCTTTTGAAGTCCTTTTGTCCATTCCTTAGACAACCACGATTTGTGACTGCAGTTCGCCTTTGAGTGAATTTTTAAGGATCATACAATTTCACAACTTCCACTTTTAACGGCTTCATCCACATCTTCTCCCATCATTGCCGCCGCTACTCTGATTTTGTTCAAATGTTCCACTTGGTCTTTCATGATGGCAATCAACGGAGTTACCACAACAATCGTAATTGTTATTCTATCCTGCCTTCATTCCGACGCACGCTTTATTCAAGGAAAAAGCTGGAAAATAAGTCTTTTTGCACAGCCAGTCGGTGAAATTGTGAAGACATCTATCCTGCCGACTACGTGTTTTAAACAGTTCCTTTGCTCTTCGCGTTTATCCTCCACGTTTGGAGAGTCGCTCAGCGCTGTGTTTGTTGCGAGTTCGAATTCTGGACGGGACGTAGAGTCTGTCATCACCGCCATATCGCATTTCTCGCTGTGATCGAAGACGCTCCACTGTTGACAAAAACTGTCAAAATCAACCAATCAGAGGGTATACCAGGATCTGGTATACCGGAACGCGCTTTTGTTACAAATTCTTACAAGCGTTCCCGCACCTCTCTCCCCAGTTCCCCTCTACTTTTCATCGCTTTCTTTACTTCGCACCGCTCTCCACTATCTGAACTCTTGGAACAGGCTACTTTTTACCCCACTCTTTGGATGAAAAAAGCAACTTTGCAATGGGAAAACCCACAAAAAGTACGAAATTGTGCGTTTCGAAATTGGAAGTGTTTACACAATTATCGCCGGCCTACAATGAAAATTCCTGAACTTCCATGGTGTCTTACACAGATTTCCTTTAATAACCCGAGCCAATTCCCAGGTATGTTTTAAATGAATGTCTAAATGTGTGATATAAATAGCATGAAGAGAACTTGGAGTTATACCACATGTTAAATATTGCTGTCGAAAATGAATAACGAACTTAAGTTTTGTCATCCTGAAAACCTATCCATCATTTTTTAATTATTTCAGTACGACGAGCTTCCCTATTGCCCTGAAAGTATCTTTTAGTGTAAGAAGAAGAATTTTTGGTTCATTGAAAGTGTCCAAATTTCTCCATGCGGCTTTTTTTGCGAACGGGAGGAAAGTTGATGTTAGCGAATTTCAGGTTAAAAATTAGGGCAGTCTGAGACTCCGACATCGAAAACCGATCTTCTACTTTTTCTCACATATAAAAGGCTTTTGGCTGGAACAATCTACATTAGGTTTCTTATCTACCTAACAGCTATCTATGAACAAAAAATGAAAGAAATTGATTTTGAACTCTTGCCACGAAATTAAGATTTTGGTCGATTTTTCCTGACCGTCGCTCTTAAATTTTGCTTTATGTACTTCCTCCTGTTCTTCTTCGGTGCGCGATTGCAGTAATTTTTCGTATAACAAACCGAATCTACTCTCTGCACTAGTAGAAATTGGTTGCTACACCAAGCAAATTGGCTTCCTTAAGCGGGAAAGATGTGACCTGAATAGCAAACTACCTTGGAATGTGGCAGCAAGACACTCGATCAGTAGGATAGTTAGAAGACGAGATCTATTTCACCACAGAAATATGCGCTGCAAATGGCCTACGCAGAAGCGCAGCCGTAGAGATGGCTTTCCTTACCTGAATAAGCGCTTTGGATTGCTCCCAGGGCAAGGAAAAGGATGAACAGTTTCGCTGCCATCTTGAAGTGAAACCAAACAACGCCCGTAAAGCTGCAAAACAACGCCCGAGATCTCAAATGAACAAATAAAAACCGCCCACACAAAATCAACAGTATCAGGATTGTCCGTCAAAAATGCTGACATGGGTTCAAACTGAACAGTAAATATTTATGGAAGTCATGTCACGGCGTCTGATTAGAGGAATATTGGAGTCACGGCAAGAGAGAATAGAGTATTCTCTCTTAGTCACGACTGTCTCGTTCATTTTGCTAATATTGGCAATACATATGCGCTTTTAAACTTAACGTTAACGAAGAAATTACTTGTAAACGATGTCAAACGGCTTCATTCCATTGTCATTCAAAGCAATATAAATTATGAATGGAGCCGTTGTGTTTATGTTTCAGTCAATTTAGTGGCAATTCCTACTGTTACAATTTTGATAAAATTCGTCACCAGCCCCGAAAAACTTTTTCAATTTTGAATTTTTTCTTATTAGGCTCCTCTCTTTTATCAACAGAGGAAAATGTTGAATTGTTTTATTATGTTCAATGATTTATGAAAGAGTCCAAAGTGATTTTGTTTTTTGTCGGTTTGTTTGCTTTTTTTTTTATCTTAATTAAAGGCATTGTTTACTCGTGATGTCATATGCATGTTGTATGTTTAGTGTAGGCGTAAGCCCTCACGATGGGCTCTTCACAGGCGGCCCAGACGTAGTATGTGTCACTGAATGAATACATTAATATTCACATGGACAAATTAATGCGATGAGTCGTCGAAACTCCCATAACCTAAAATAGTCCAAAAGTCAAAATATAACAAAATAAAGCTAAGATACCTTCAACTGAACGTATCCTTGTCTTTCCTGGCCGGTTTAAGTGGCATTTTGTTGAGTTTGCAATTGTAGGTACTATCTACTAAAGAAGAATTAAAGGCTGGCTACAAAACAAACGGACCATCTCCACGCGCCTTCACAAGGACTGCAAGGAGCGCTATAAATTCGAGAATAATCGACGAATCCGCTCCAAATTGCCATCGGCTAATCTGCAGGTAACGTGTGCTCCTGCTTCTTGCTCGCTGGCTCCACAAAACCCATCGCAACTGCACAATAATTGCTCGCTCTTCAACAACCACTGTTGACCTTTTCGCTTCGATATGACCTCAAACTACCAGGTATAATACGCGACGTGAATATTCAAGCTTAGTGGCCGCGTTCGCGCAACAATGCAGCACTTGCTCTGGGAGGGATGGTACTATTGCTTCTAGGTCAATCAATCGGGAAAATAGTATTGAAGCCCTTGTAATTTTTAAAAAGATCCAATTTACCCTAGGATCACCGAACAGATACGAACTTTATACCGGAGCTAAAAAAAATGAGCGGCAGTGGAAAAAGTGAGCAAGAACATGTACCACATTTCCTCCATAAAAAGTGAAAACCAGGAAGTTTTCTGGACGTTTCACGTTGCAGTCATGCAAATCAACGGCAAGTTAAGGAAATGTACAAGAAAGTGTGCTGCAAGTAGACCTATTGTTGTTTTTCAAAGTTCTGGTCAAGAACTGGTCTATTCAAATATGTGTAAGTATAAATAACAATAATAATAATAATAATAATAATAATAACAATAATAATAATCAACTTAATTTTTCGAGGGTGGCACTTGACAGTATAAAATACTGATAAACTCGTGGCCCTAAAAAAAAATTAAAAATAAACACGAATACATATAAATAATGAATCATCTAAGAATTAATATAAAATGTTTGAGAATAAAGTAGAATCCGCCTAAGCTATAGTAAAGTGATGAACATCTTTATGTAAACAATTCTTTAAAATGTCTAAACTAGAGCTACACTTAATTCCAAAACCTAGTGGCTGATACTTGAAAAGTCCTAGCACCTTCTGATTCTCTTTTATTCTTTGGTCAAATTAAATTTAAAGACCCATATCTACTTTGTCTTTCAGGAGAACGTATGTCGATGTTTCGTTTGAGTAGTTCTAGCATATAATCGGGACACACCCTGTTCAAACGTTTATAAACTAATGCGCATTGATTAATCTTGTCATGAAAAAAAAGGTAGCCAATTAAGTTCTCCAAACAGATCTACACTATTTGCTCTAGTATCAGCATTAATAACGCGTGCGGTACGCTTCTGTAGCCTGAAGACCTTATTTACCGTTTATCAACAGATGTAGAAACCCACACACTAGAGCCATACATCATGGTTTGTTTTATTATGGCATTGTAATAAAGAATTCGTTGATGTAAAGGTAAATGACGCCTGTTTTTTTTTTCAAAACAGCAATACACTGTATTAGCTTCTTACATAGAGAATCAATATGCTTATTAAAATTGAGCTGGAGTGTCAATAATTACACCTAACAGTTTATGAGACTGGACTTGTTTGAGTTCGACTGAGTTTATATGGACAGTGAGTGAGGTGCTGCCCATCTTCTTATGTAGACGTTACTGAATGATAATGATAATGATAATGATAATGATAATGATAATGATAATGATAATGATAATGATAATGATAATGATAATGAGAATGAGAATAAAATGATGCGATTGGTCTCCCCCCCACCGCTTCCCTTTTCACAAAGTTAAAAATCGCTCAAGCTTTCCAAAAGTGCGCTTTGTGCAGAAAACACTTCAAGGGGACGAGGGGACAATGCCCAAAGAAAACGGATATGTCCCACTTTTCTTTGACTAAGGGTTATAGGTAGGTATGTTGCAACCTCGTTTCCAGGTTCTCTCTCCTCCCCTCTGTCTTGCTCCGTAGGGACGGGTACGAGAGAACCCAGGGAGGGGAACGAGGTTGGGTCTGGTCATGGTCTGGTATAGGCTGAAGGTTCCGGAGTCCCAGTGGTACATCCCCAGCCTCCCCCGGCCCTTGCGTTGTTTAAAGCGTGTTGGTTCAAGCAAAACTCTAACTTTCAATCTCTGAAAACAACCTTTCTCATGTGCGAACAGAGGATAACTAGAAAGTCCCCATGATCTTTTATTAAATTCTTAACATGTTAAAGGGGATCTCAATTTACTTTTCCAAGTTATAATTAGTGGAATATTCAGAACAGTTCATTTATAGCAGAATATTACCTGCCAGTTTTCGCTGCGAGACCCTAGCTAAGCAGCACACTAGTTCTTGCGTTTTCTGTGGTTTCTTGGCTGTCCTTTTTCTATTTAGACGTTACAATGTAGCCTCCCCGGCAGACATTCTTAGGCCTGCGTCACGCGTTCCTTCAAGGAACGCGTGACGCACGCCTAGGAATGTCTGCGGGGAAGGCTATTACAATGCGGACGTATGTTTGTCAGGGTCTGTCAGGATGATGTTTTTGATTACTAGCAAACGATCTGTTTTACGTGAAAGACTTTGCAAAAACTGGCTTAAAATACCACCTCATAAAGCATCAAATAGTCAGTAGTTTTTTTCTGAAATCGGTGTTTAACGAACGATTCTCTTCAGCCCGGCCAAAATTACATCACAGTAAAATGTATGGAACAGAACCTCGATTTAACGAAATCCTCGATATAATGAACACAATCCAGAAGCGCAATCGTAGATTATACCTCGTTATAACGAATAAATGTCAACATTTGAAAAAAGATGAAAGCCAAACCGAACCAACAAGGATAAAAATTTATCTGCACAGTAGTTTTAAGCAGGTTGTTTGCCGGTTTTTGAGTTTGTAGTGCCGTAGCCATATACAGCTCGGTACTGAGGCGTTATCAGTAATTGTTCAGATCCGAGAATGCTGGGTTTGGTAAATTAATTACTATACCTCGATATAACAAACATTTTGGTTGTTTTTTTTTTTTTTTTAGAAAATTCGTTAAATCGAGGTGTTCGATATAATGAACCCTCGATAACGAACAACTCTCCCCAGTCCCCTGGCACTTCGTTAATTGAGGTTCCATGCAATGTAGTATTATTATTATTGCTATTCTAACTGACCACAACAATTGACCACAATTCGCTACTGTACAACCATAGCCAACTCTGAATTTCTAGAACGTAAAATCCTTCTCAACGCCCTTCGAAAACTATGCATTCTGAATGTATATAATATTGGATTTAACGCAGAATTTAGAAGGCCAATAAACAATACCGCGCGAAGGACATGTGCAGAGATCTTGGTAGTTGTGGTGTACTGTATAGTTTCAGTTACAACAGATGGAAGCCAGCACAGTGCAAATGTACCAACAAACAGAAAGATAGCTTTAGCGACTTCCTGTTCTCGCTTCCTAGCCATGACGCTCGCTTCGTCCGGTTGAATAAGGCGTTGTCGAGTTCCTTGCGCGAGGATTCTATTGTTGAATTTCCGAATTATTAGGAACATGCGGAAATACAAGCAAAACATGAGCAATACGAGAAAACAACCGATACCAGTAAAAAGAAATAAATTGTACCAGCGCCTCTTCCAAAATGGTATTAATAGAAAGCTAATGACTACCGCGGTAAGCCAAATCAAGAAAATGAAGATCTTTACGGCTAGGGTGGTGAAAATCGTCTCTCTTCCTAGGGGCCTCTCCAACACGATGTATCTCTCAATAGTCAAAAACATAACTGTCAAACACGAGGCATCAACTGAGAGAACAATTAATAAATAAGACGCAATAGAATAGCTTTTGTCTGTCTCCACCCAGTACTGAAGGGCCCAAAGAGGTTCAACTATAAAACCAACAATGAGATCCGCTGCAGCCAGGTTTACTACTAGGAAGTTTGAACTGGTTCGGAGCTCTTTGTAAGGGTCTTTGTACACAGTGATAACTACCATGAGGTTGCCTGTTGTCGTTATAAGGGCTAGACAAAGAGCAATGACCATTTCAGCAATAGTGATCTTCTCCAGTAGAAATGAATTCCTTTCTTCGTGTTCACTCATTTTGTTCGCGTCGGGCTGGGAGAAAGAGAAGTCAATTAACACAAGAGAGGATAAGAATTAAGACGGGATCCATTGGGAAATTGAGTAATTTTAACTTTCAGTAAACGAAAACCTTGTACCAGGAATAATTTAAACAATACCAAATTCTTTTTTACAGTATTCAAGGT